GGGGGGGGGGGGGGAGGGGCGGCTCTCTCCGTCGTGCGGAGGAGCAGCCTCGGTCTCTTTCTGTCTCTCTCCCCTCCCTTCTCGCGACTTTTTCCCTGCGCGCTTTGTACAACGCCTTTCGAGAAATTCGACGCCGCCACGAGGCAAGATTTCACCGCGTATTTTTCGAATTATACGTTGTCCGTTCGTGGCATAGCTTTTGCAGTTACTCAATCGCCATCACTCCGTGACGTCATCGTGTAAAATTCTAGTCGACGTGCGCTCGGGAGAAATGAAGACGACTCCGACTACCAATCGACGAGTATTTTCAGGATGATTGCGCGACGCCGTTGCGTGCGCTACAATTTCTCGATAATCGACAAGCGAGGAAGGGCGATTCTTTCTCTCTCTCCCTCCAGCAAGATCGGTCGGTTCAAACTATTCGATTTCGTGTTATTCTCCGTTTTTGTATCGGCTAACATTAGGTTTGTTTTACTTAACTGAACTGCGTCTGATGCGTACTGGTGCGGTAAGTCAGAGTGCGAGATATATTCCGTTTCACACTAACTTATTGCACTAGTCTGCACCAGTTTCGCAGGCAGTTCGGCTAAAAAGAACCTATTGCTGGCTGACTGGCGGAATTTTATCGCGCGCGGGTCGAATTTTTCCGTCGCGACAATCGCAAGCGGTGGCTTCCCGGACAGAGGCGTGCTCTTTTTTTTTCGCGAACACGCTTGCGCCTCCGTGTGCGCGCATATATGTGTAGGGCTCACGGACAATTTGATTCGAGACGTTCCCACGAAAACTCGCCGGCCTTGAGCCCGATAGAGCTTAGAACGAACGAACGAACGAGTGGAGGGGAAGTACGCGAGCGTGTTGGAGATTTCTCTCTATTTCTCTCTCTCTCTTTCCCGCGGCGAGAAGAGAGGGACGAACGGACATGTGAGCGAGAGAGAAACAGCGTGACTGACGTCGCGATGATTGCGTGAAGAAGATACGTATGTGTGTGGTGTGTGTTGCGGAGGCACACACCGGCCTCTCACAGGCGGAGATCCGGCAAGGTCGCGAACATTCGCAGTAAAATCAACGTGCGCATTATTTCGCCGTGATTTCGGATTCGTCGCGTGACGAGAGGGGAGGAAGAGAACAGAACTCACGGCCATAAACGCGTGCGGTGCGCTTTTATCTCGCCGTCACATGCACACGCGTGCGCGCGCACACACATACTCGCTTGATTATGTGAATCGCCGATATTGCGGATCGTTTATATTTAGTATAGCGCGGCGCGCAATTCGCCGAAGAGGTAACCGATATAACGACGGAATCATAGTCGGAAATCACGGGCGACTTGTTACCGCGTCTACATCCGGCCATAAACTCGCGAGCGAGTTGGCGGCATTGCGCAACTTCCGTCGTACGGGAAGAAAACACGCGCATTCGGGAAAAAATGAGTCAACTGCATGTTCGGGGTAATCGCGATACACGATCTCCCGAGAAGCAGGCGCGCGCGACGCCTCGAACGAGAAACCCGCCGCGAGATAGCGCTCATCGTGCGATGGCTTCTCTATCGCTAGAAGGACGCGTTGTTTGCGTCGCGCATCGGCCGCGGGTCTTATTGCTCGCGTTTGCGAACGCAGTTCAGAGAGAGGGAGAGAGAGAGAGAGATAGGCTTGTGGAAAATATAACAAAATCAGCGTCGTTCAGATGACCCAGATTCATCGCGATTTCTCGCGCTTAGGGACGTTGAACCGTATCTGAGCTACGAGGCATTACGTCACGATAAGAGACGTCGCGCAGCGCTAATGAAGTGCGACTTCGCAATATATCGTTTCGCGAATATCGTCAGACGTTATCACGCGCGTGACGAACGCTAACAGGTTGGGAGCACAGGAAATCGACGAGTCGTAGGTCCGCGCTATGCTCTCGGAGATGTTCTCTTCGAATAGGGAGGTCAAGTGGAAGCGTGTTCAATTCGAGAAAGAGAACGATACGCGTACTTTGCGCGCGCGTGCAGAAGATATCGACGCGAAAGAGGCCGCGGGGAACAACACGGCGTGGATAATGCAATCTCATGACCGCCGGCCATCCCGCCGTCTCAGTTTGACAACCGCATGCCGAGACGGTGCGGGCCCAGCTGCCATGCACGCTGCATCTGCCAGCCGGTCGACAGCTGCGCCTTCTTGGCAGACGCAGCTGTGCGCGAGGTCGGCCCAGATGCTTGAGCGGAAACCGTATCGTCCGAATGGCGCCGCGTATCCCTCGCAAGTCGCGGGAAACGGAAGATCTGTGCAATTCTCGTAGGACTAGCGACAATAGCGCGACGAATCTCTTCGCGAGAACACAATTGACTAAATATATCTTCTCCTGGGCAACATTCTTGTTATTTTGCTCTTTAAATACCAATATTTTAACTTTCAACGTAAAAAATATATGTATATATATATATTTAATATATGTATGTATATTTTATATTGAAAGTTTAAGTACTTGTGTATTTAAAGAGGAATAAAAGAATGTGCAGTATTGGACAAGGATTTAACAGTTGAATATTCTAGATCGTTTTGGTATTCAAATACGAACATTCAAACTTTCAATATAGAATATATACATATGTATTTGTTGTTGATTGTTTAAATGTTCGTGTTTAAAGACCGAGAA